GATTACCCTAAATCAGTGCTTCTCAACCTTCCTCATGCCGCGACCCTTTCATACACTTCCTCGTGTTGTGGTGACTCCTCAAACATAAAATTATTTTCAATGCTACTTCATCACCGTCATTTTGCTACTGTTATGAATCAGGTGACCCCTGTGAAAAGGTCATTCAACTCCCAAAGGGGTCACAACCCACAGGTTGAAAACCGCCTAAAGAGACATAAAAGCTCAAGTTATGTCTCATTGCCTCTAGGAGTCGAATACAAGGGCACATATATGCTCCATGTCCCTTCCTCCCTCACTGCCATTGAGGTGACTCCAACTCAGAGGTGGTTACCACAGGAGGAGTGAACGTAAAATGGTAATAACTGACACCAAGGGCTTTAGGGAATACAGGTGTGAGGGATGGGAGTTAGGGAGGGAAAGGGGATTTGGTGAGTAAATAATGAGGTGAGAGAGGGGAGTGAGGTGGGAGCATTAGAACTGACCATGATTGCGCAACTCATTTCAAAGGTGGTTGAACCATGTGGGGAGGGAAGGCTCTAAGATAGATGTGGTGGTGATTGTACAATGTCCCTTGATATGATTGAACTATTCAATTATATGATATGGACATTATATGTCAATAAAATTTTGTAAAAAACTTAATACATGAATACATTTAAAAAAATTAAATTGGTTGCCTGTGGTTGACTGAAACTCGACCAATGGAATCCATTAAGGACCCTGAGTACTGACAAGTATGTTGAAGAGGCTAGAATTGTTTGCCCAAAGGGAACAGGAGGATGGTGAGAATTCTTGTGTCTTTTGAACTGCTAGACAGAATGCTGTACCCACTGCTCACTACCATGGTGTCTACTTCAACACAGAGCAGCCCTAGAGCACAGCGTAGAATTTCTCTGAGCATGCAGATCTTTGTGGAAGTGGGCAGCTTCACCTTTCTTCTGAGGAGAAGCTGGTGGTTGCAAACTGCTGACCAATACATAACCACCACACCACCAGGGTTCCTATAATTACCGTGTACACACTGCTGAACGCCATTGCTTTCATTTGTAATGAATTCAATCTATAAACCTGCTTTCATTATTTTTTTTTAACGAAAAAAAATCAACTACCAAGAAAGAAATAGCACATAGAACAGATGGTTCAATTCTGTTATTCCATCCACTGCATCCAAGTCTCCACCTCAGTGATAAATAAAACATTCCACCCTCAAATGACAACAAGCTAATTAAAGTTCATGAGTGGCATAACTAGTGACGAAGGGTCAATCTGATCTCTATACCCACTTCCACTGAATCTATTAAGACAGTGGTTCTCAACCTTCCTAATGCCGCGGCCATTTAATACAGTTCCTCATGTTGTGGTGACCACCCAACTATAAAATTATTTTCATTGCTACTTCATAACTGTAATTTTGCTACTGTTATGAATTGGGTGACCCTCATGAAAGGGTTGTTGACCCCAAAATGGGTCGTGACCCACAGGTTAAGAACCGCTGTATTAGGACTTATAGTGAGTGATCCTATAGGGCAGAGTAAAATTATTTCATAGTGTTTCTGAAACTAGACCTCTTTGTGGGAGCAGACTGCCTCATTTTTCTACCATGGAACATTTAGTGGGTTTGAACTGCTGGCTGCACAGTTAGCATCCTAACACTTAACCCACCGCACCATCAGGGCTCCTTTTCTTCTACAGGATAGAAAACACAATTCAGAGAAGGAAACGTAGAATGTGCCATATGCCTACCTAAAGTGATAAAGAGTGACAAAAAAGGAAAAGGAAACTAAACAAAATTTAAATATTCCACATGGGAAAGATGAGTCTTTGCCTAATTGTTCATTAAAATAACCAGTGGATGGGATTTTTATTTAAATTGCTTTTCATTTTGAACTCTGTTATTAAACCTCTAATATGCCCAACACTGAGCCAGGCTCTAAGAATTGTGGGAAACAAACCTGCTTTGGAGGTGGGGACTGCTTAGGACAATGGTATTTCCAAAGGTACCATTAGTATCTTCCCAAGAGAGACCCCAAGACTCCATGCTAAAAGGTAAGGGTAGGTTGATTTGATGGAGGTTCCGGAGATGGCAGGCACCCGAGCAAGGTGGAGTGAGGTGAAGATGGGAAATTGGGGTCGAGGAAAAAGTCTACTTGCTCAGCGTCCAAAATATATGTAATGATAACAAGCTAAGGCTCGGGGTCCTAACTTCTGCTGCTCAAGACAATTTGCTAATTTGAATAAGTACTTAATTCCCCAGCATCTCCAGTGGCATCGACACATTCAGACCTATACTGCTGACCTCCTTGCGTGCTACTCGATGAGGCTGACAGGCTACATAATTTTAAAATGATGAATTTCTGTGTTAGATCCACAAAGTAAACTTTCAGAAATGATTAGTAAAGGAATTAGAACACTGATTTTCCAAGCTACTTTTTTTCCCACTTGAAATTGTCATGGTTATCTCTGTTTATTGACAGTAATGTTTGACTGCTTGCATTTTATTAAATTTAAATATTAGTTGAGATTATGTCTTAATAAGCTAATGTTTTTTAAAAGAACAACTTTTTAACTGAAAAAGTCTGCTGTTATAAAAAAAACGACTAATAAAATATAGAGAGTGTAAACTTTGTAGTCATGCACATCTGATTTCCAATCTGGGCCATGTGACCTGGAACAGACTGGCTGCTCTCCACAGAGCTATAGGCGCATCTGTAGAATGGAGATACCTTTCCCTGCTCCACCCAATTAGGTTTGTGTAGATATGAGGGGGCTTCAAACTTTTTATGGAAAAGAGATGAACCTGAGAGATAAGGGGATTTCCCAAGAAACTTTTGAAGCCCCTTCTTACCATATTTCCAATCTGGACCAGCCTGAGTGGATAAATCCCACCTTCCCTACTTAATGCTCAGTAAGGGTCAACAGAAGTCCTATCCCTACCTGGAAATGGATCCTGTCTTCAGCTTCACTCTTCTCCTTCCTCATGACCAGCCACCCAAGTGGTATCCTCTTTGACCCTAGCCACCCAGGGCCGCACGGGATCGCACAAGTCAAAAGGACATCCCCATGCAGTGCATCTCTGCCCCTAGCTACCTGGTGTTAGAGAGACATAGTTCTTCCATGTGCCAAAGAGGCTAACTGCATGCTAATGAACACTAAGAGGCTAATGAACGCTAACAACATGCTTCGAGAGCTCCATCTGATATTCAGTCTTCTGCTTTGCGGGCCACACATTTGGGGCTGACTTCCCATTAACTCCTCTGATTACCGCACACAAGCTAGAGAATCCACCCACACCCTAACCTCCTAATACTTATGACCCATGTGGGGTTCAGGAATTCACTGGATACATCAGGGAATCCACAGAGAGTATATTCACA